GGGGGAGGGGGTTACTTGTTAAGCCTTATGGTGAGAGATGATCAGAGGTTTTTTAATCTTTAATGTTTATTTTGAAAAAGTGAGTCTTCYAAGTGAGGACATTTTTGCAAGGCTTGAATGTGAGAGAATCATATTATTCCTGGTCTCCATGAGAGACTTGAACCTGGGCTCCCACATCCCCATGGGTACTTCTCAGCATCAGTCTGTTTACTTCAGGGTCAGAATGCATGACTGTCCATGAAATTTTAATAGTTTCTACTTTGTGCTGAGGGAACAGAGATTTGTGTCTTAAACTTCTGAAAGTTTTCACCTTGGGGAATTTATTTTTCATCAAATGGATTGCATATATCCAGAGAAGCTTCTTCTACCTGAGGTTGATGTWTGTTAACTGTTGTTGCCACTTTAAGTTGTTCCTGGGCACTGAGCTTCTATTAAGTAAAAACAATATTTGTAGCTCTTTAATGGCAAAGGTGAATACAGACMGAGCTGATGAACTCAAGCTATGGCATGATTACACTTTCTGATGCTCAGGCTAGGTGAGAGAAGTCTGTACTCATCTCCCTCAGAAGATGCAAGGAAGTATGAAATAGGTATCTTCTGAGGGGGAGGTTCAGCTCTGATAACTGAAGGCTCTGGTAGGTAAGCTGGGCTTCTTTGGATCTTGAGCTGTGGCAGAGCACCCAGCAATCCAAGCATCTGAACACAGACGCTATGCTATAATGAATATATGTGGAGCACACAGGTGGAGTGTGTCAGATACAGTAACCCTATCTAGCAGGTCCTTAGCCTGCAACCTAAAATGATCTTCCCTATCCTGTGAGTCAAGTGGATGTTTTGTATTTGAATGCCTGTCCTCCAGGTGAGCGAGCTGGGTTGTCTTGTAGTGGTATATATTTGGCAAGGCGTCTGACTTTAACTGGCATGAGTTTACTCGAGACCACAGAGTGTAAATAACACTTCTGAAACCACTTCTAATCATAGGAGTCCTAACAAGAGTGAATATTTTGGGCTGGGGGGAGGAGGGAGGAAGTTTCCTGTCTCAGTGGATGTATATACATGTTGTAATAGCTCATGTTTGCCAGATCTCTGGATTTTCTTCCACTAGCACCAGAAGATTGGCATGGTTCCTACTAGGTTGCTCTTTGGTAGACCAGTTGCATCAGTGTGCTTCCCAGCCCTACAGCCAGTGTGTTTTTTCAGCCTAGGTATAAAGGCTTTTTTAGCAATGTTGAGGTGAGATGCTGGGAAAGAAAAGATGCTGTTACGATGCGTGTAAATCTCAGGGAGAAGTTCTGGGTAGGGCTTCCTTTGCCTCTGTTGCCTTTGCAGAAAGGCTTGCCTAGAGAAGAAAATGAGAGCAGAATCAGGTATGCTTAGAGGACATAGGCCTATTGACTACTTGTTGAAAGACTCCTTCGAATGTTAGCAAGAAGAACTCCAACTCTTTTTTTTTTTTTTTTTTTTTTTTTTTTTTTGTAAAGTAGAGCACTGAACTTGTGTGATAAGTCAAAACTGAAGTGTTTCATAAGGAGATGAATACTTTGGAATTAATTTATCTTTAACTTCTCAGGCATATAAATTTTACTAGCACTTTACAGCGTCTTGTTTCTGCAATAAACTCATTCCAGTTTTGAAATCAGAACTCCTTTTTTTAAGAATGTTCATAATCTTTGAGGATTAATGTTGAGGGTATGTTAAGTGTTTCAGGTAACAGGAAATGGTGTAAAACCTCGGATTGACTGTTCTTATTTAATTTTAATAGGATAAATATTGAAATATTTATAAAGAATGGTATCAAGTGAAAAATGGGCTGTTAATACAGATCAGGTAACCACTTGATGTAGTTTCTGAACTAGAAAGCAGTATCTGTGACCTGTGTGAGAACAGCAGTGTTTGATCTGCATCTAAATGCTTTCTATGTGCAAAAGAGCTATATAAGACCAAACATATAAATAGAGGCTTTTGAAAAGCATTTTGATCCTGTTGACATCAACTGTTTTAAACTGCTTGATCTGTTAGATTCCAGTAAATTTAGTTTCTGAGATTCCCTCCTTCCTCCTGTAGTTGTTTCTAAGGAATTAAATTTGTAGTGGAAATTCAATTTTGGTACTAAAATACTTGTTATAGAGAGATGCCGTCCAAATCCAGGACGGTACCTTGTTTTAACCATTTTTTCTGCAAGCCTGTTAATTTCTGTACTTGCAATAACCAATGCAAGCTTCTTGAGGAACACTGTTATTTCCCTTATTATCTCTTGCATGTTTCAACTGATACCCCAGTTTAACTCTGAACTGTTAAACAAATGTCAAAATAGTCTTAAATCAGTGTCTATTGATGATCTAGAATGATCTTTTATGTTGTGTTAGTGGGTTGTCCTGTGTACAAGGAGCTGTTTTTTTAATCCCATTTCTGATTTAGTTCCTTCAGTGTGACTGCAGTTGATACCATTGCCTAATTTTGGTGTGGTCCTCCAAAATGAGAGTGAAAGGGTTGTAACTGAGGGAATGTGCGTTGTGAGCTAAGGCTGGAGTAAGGTTAKCATTACTGTATTTAATATCTAAACATTGAACATATAGGCACTTTTTTTCTGGAGACATCACAAATCCAGGTAATTTGAAAGGGAAATTTTCAAAAAGGAGGAGCRGAGGAAGAAGATAGCAAAGGTTTTATTAGAAAGTGTGTTTTTTTATTCTTACGATTTTCAGTAGATAAAGGCTCCATGTAATGGCATCTGGGTTACATCTCATTTTGGAAATCAGCTTAATTTTCTTATGTTTTTCTTTCTTTTTTTCACCTTACAAAATGCTTACAGTTCTTCGACCTATCTCCCTTCCTTGCAATGATGTTTATACTCTGCATTTTCCTACTGCTTAATACATCCTGTGCTATCCTAGCTGTGCTGAATGAGGTCTCAGCCTAACTACAATATTAACCCTGCAAATCTGTTCATTTTCTCCTGAGCAGCCTGAGGCAGGATATACAGTAGATGTGTCCAATTGAAAAACTATTACAGACTCCATGGTGCTGCAGTGTGCTAAATTGCAACAGGGATGTGTTTTTCTGACCAAAAAAAAAAAAAAAAATATCCTCGTAAGGGAGGTAATGTTGTCTTATTTCACRCAAGTTATGGAATTTGTTTTTTGTTTTAGTCTCAGCCTTCTTTGTTGATCTAAAATTGTCTGTCAGCTTTTAGGCAATGAAACATGCTCCCTTCCCCACAGGCTGCTTTCCTGCTGTTATTCATCAAAAGTATGTTTGTGTGTTTTTTACTCAGTTGGTATCTCTTCTTGCAGACTTATTTTCACTTTTTTCAGTTGTTGCTTTTAATGTTTTTCTTCATTATTTTACTAAATATCATGCTGAAGATCAGTAGCATCTTGGGTGGTGGTTGTACCGCATAGCATTTATAGCAGACATTAGTTTTGCATAGCGTGTGTACCTTATTTTGCCTGGACTTGTCTTCGTGGTGCTGCAGGCACCTCCTCAAGCACTTGTAGTGATTAAGAGTGGTATTTCTGAAAATTCATATTAACTTCTGCTCATAAAGAAACAGAAGAAGAAAAGAGAATCTCTGAGGCTTTTCCAACGTCATAACTTTTTTTATTTTTTAACTCAAATGCTTAAGGTTTTTCATCAGTGTTTGACCTAAACTTGCTGTTGTGCAGTGCCTTGTGGTTTACAGATGCCTTACGTTTCATATAAGTTGGATTTGTTGTGCAACGTCAGCCTGTAAATCACTTCTCTCAGACACTTACCTGGATCATGTCCCCTTTATAGTTTGAATCTTTAGCAAAAAAAAAAAAATGTGCAAATGATGTTTTGAGCACTCGAGGCCTCGGCTACTGGGAGCCCTGGGTAGCGCGCGCTCTTGGACGGGTGCTTAGAGGTTTAGCAGCAAGCTCAGTCGGGATGTTTACAAGGGATCCCTTCCCTCTCGCCGCTGAGAGACGTGTCGCAAGAACAAAGGGAGTTGTGTGGTGAAGCGTATCTTGCTTCTTGCTGCTTTGCGTGCCTTTTAAATGTAAAACTCGCAGTAATTTGCAAGGGCTGCCGGTTCTCAGGGCATCTTTGGAAGGTTCCACCACGGCACACAGGGCTTCCCGTGCGCTGGAAAGCTCGGCTGTCTCAAAACCGCTCTCGAGCGCGTTTCTATTTTAATCCCGGCCTTTGAATGCCGCCTGCCTTTCCGGCTCCAGCAAATCGCCGTGCCGGCCCCACCCCGCTGCCGCGCGGGCTCTTCGCCGCCGCTCCATCTCTCCTTCGCCACTAGAAGTTGGCTCTGGCGGCCAAGCCTCTGCTCCCTGGGCCGCGCTCGGGGCTCGCGTTCGCCAGGGAGCCGCTCCGACCCGCAGCCTCTGCGGGGCGCGCCGGGCCGTCCGCCGCTAGACGTGTGATTCTTAAATGGAAAATGTCGTTCTCAAAGGCTGTCGATGCCCAGCGTGCCGCAGCGTGTGAAGGGTTGCCGAGTCCGGCTGCCTCTGCTCCTGTTTCCGTGACATGTGAAGTGGAAAGTCGGGAGAAGCGCGTGCAGAATGGAGGAGTTAAGGGTTTGTATTTCTGCTCGGGCTGTGCAGCGCTCATGGAGGGCTTGGGAAGGAATGTGGGTTCTGCCTGTGGCTTTTGGTTAAAAAGATAATAATTTTCGCAGTCTTTCTGCCTACTATTAGTGATACTTTTTCAAGGCCTTTATCAGCTCTTACATATGAGTATGTTTTCTTTCCTTGTGTGGATTGTCACTTGTAGTGTTCAGGAACAACTTGTTTTGTTGAATTTATTGTCTTTTTTGTGGGGTATATCATTGTATTCTGCCCGACTTTACTTAAAACATAGCTGGTTGAAAGATTTAAAGTTGGATTGATTAAAAAGTTGCCAAATACTTGTCTGCACTTTAATAAGATGAAAACCATGAGCTGAGACTGAGGCAGTGCTGTTGACTCTGGACTGGGGGCTTCTGCGAGGCTACTGAGGAGATCATTAACCCAAGGTCTATCTCTTCACAGGACAGTCGGCCCAATATGTCAAGACCTCTGATCACTAGATCCCCTGCATCTCCATTGAACAATCAAGGCATCCCCACTCCAGCACAGCTCACAAAGTCCAACGCACCAGTTCACATTGATGTGGGTGGGCACATGTATACCAGCAGCTTGGCCACGCTTACAAAATATCCCGATTCCAGGTAATCCTTAAAAAGATTGTTCTGCATGTCTTCAGCATTGCCTGTACTTCAGTTTTGTCTTTGGACATCCTGGGGCTGTCACATGATATTACATTTAGTTCTTTCTGTTTCAAAATTCAGTTATGTTTCTACTGGTAAGGAAGCTGAGGCTGACTTTTCTTTCCCTCCTTCACTGCGTTTCAGACAAATGACACCTATACAAATCCCTATGTTTATGTGCTATAACGAAGTCAGTGGTAACAAATACTTTCTTTTTACTCCAAATAATTTTGGATTTATGCCTGGCCAACCATTCTGTGCTTTGTTGCATTCAAAAACTTTATAGATCCTGCATTTAAGCCTAAAGGTGGGAGCTTGGATGTGTTGCTTTTTTTTTTTTTTTTTTTTTTTTTAATGTGTGTGTGTAGTTGTTTTTGAAACAACTGCTTTCCTGACATTATCAATATGTAATCTCAAATGTGTCTCCGGAGATAAAGGCCTGGCTGTATGCAACAAAATATAGAACACTATTAACTTAGTACTTTTTGTAGAAACTTGACACCTTTTGAATAGTTAGATTCTGTTCTCACTTCATATTTCTTCCAGATTAAGCAGTGGTGATTCTAGTAGGTTATTGGTATTAAGCAGTTAAAGGGCTTTTTTTGTTTGTTTTAAATAATCTTTAAAACTCTTTGAACATGTAGTGAGTGGCTATTTCATGGTTGTGACTGCAGATAAACATTGTAGGGATGCAGTAAATCTACATGACTTAGTTGTCATTTATTAGATGTTGAGTATATCACAATATTATTCTTATACGCTGTTCTGTGCTGCCTAATCCTGTTTTAGAGGGAAGACAGTGCTGCCTTCACAGTCTTTCCACTCCATCATTCAGCTGGAGGAGGAAAGTAAGATTAACYCCCTCTCCCCTTTCCTTGTACTCTTTTTCTCTCTCCTTTTCAGTGCTAGAGCAGAAAACAAATTTTGTGTAAGGTAAGCAGCAGAAAGCCGCATTGCAAATTCCTTGGGAAGGAGAAGCTAGAGGGGTCCTGCTGCTACCTTGATATGCATCCTTCATCAGAGGTGAGACCAGGTCTCATTTCCTCCAAAGGATGGATAAATTAGTGCATGGGGGACTAGTTAAGAGGTGTAACCCATTGGATCCTTGACTGTAGGCACTTAACCAATATCATGATCCTTGATTGCAGCAGGTTGTTTTTCCTTGCTGATGGTTTCGTGAACAGTTCTATTTACATTGTCCCCTAGAATGAGAATGTTAGCTATTTTAATTCTTGTAATTATCTGGAGGCTAAAGAAATTAAGTCACTCCTTACTAAGGCTTTAAGAGCATCTTTATGGAAGTCTTGAGGTTGTTTCTCGTAATTTAGTTTGTTCTGGGGGGCATCTGATCACTCTGTTTGAACTACAGTTAAGTGATTCACTTCATAAGTACATTTTATTGCATAGGACTTCCTTTCTCCAAGACCTGKACAGTTTCCTCTATCAATTGTTGTCCTGTCACATTACTGCTCTCCAGTGTCACCTTTGCCCTTTCTTTTGAGTTACTTGAGTACCAGTGACTCACAATGGAAATGCTTATTAGGTGATTTTATTTATTTATTTAATTATTTATTTATTTTTTGTCTAGGTAAGCTTTTGTTCTCATCAGCTCTTTTGTCAGGGGATGGGGAGTAGGAGGCAAGTTTGGGAGTTTCTACCATCTGAAAGCTCTAACTTTCCCTTCAAAGAGTGCAAGATGTACTACTTAGGATATGTTTTTATTCCAGGCATGCATTTCACTACCTATAGAGTTGGATAGGTAGTTTTACCTAGGACTGTAGATAGTAAGAGCTGATTGTGGTATGGAAAGAGAATGGTAAATATAAGAATACGAGAGAGAGGTACCCGGACACATCATCTGTCTTATGATGACCTCCTGAAGGAAAACCAAGCACAGCAAAGTAATAGAAGTATTGCCAAAGCACAAGTCTACCTGTTGAGGTTGAAGCAATGTTTGGAAAAATTTGAACTGTTCTCTAAAACCTAAATCTGCCACTTTGGGCACATGTTCTTAGGTAGTGTATCCAACTCCTAGTTGAGATTACTTAGCATTTTGCAGTAGTTGGAGTGCTGGTGGTGTCTGAAACTAGTGAAATGTCTTCTGGCATTGGGTGCCTTCTTGCAGCGCAGCGTGAGAGGCTGTTGCTTTTAATACATGCAGCTTCTGTTCCCATGTTAAGTTCACAGGGACAGCCTATTACTTTTTAACTGAAGAAACTAAAATGTCTTTCATAAGTGTGTATGGTAGCAGTGGAATTTAAGTTTAATATATTCTGCTTTCAATTGAGCTATTGTAACACTTTAAAGTAGAAGCTATGCCTGTAGTGTCAAAGCCAATTTAATAAATTAAACATTTTAAAGCTCTTCAAACACAATTTAAAAACCCCAAACCCTAAGCTGTAGCTGTTCTATTTCAAGTCATTGACATACGTTTGTGTTTCAGTTCTGACAGAAAGTGTCTTTTGAACCCCTTGATGAGAGAATAATTCCAGTATAGCTGTTAGAACCTGGAATTCCCAGCCACTTCTAGAACTTCAGATTTTTTTTTAACATTAGCAGCTTCAAAAGAGCAATTACTAAACTCATTGGGATGTCAAGACAATGGTTTGAGACAATAAGCTGACAATCATGATATAATAGTTTGCTTTTCATCTGTGAGATTTTAACTTTTTTCCAATGTATTTTTTCCCTAACTAGATATGCGTGTGTATTTGTGTGTGCATGTATAAGGTAAATGCTATCCAGAGTGTATCTACAGTCAGAGTCTGCTGATGATGGGTTATTCTACTCCAAACTTTCAGACAGCATTGGTTGAATGATTTCATTTTCTACCATGTATGAATGAGGTCCAAATTGAAGCAGCGTCTTGCAGAAAGGTTTGGGTTAGTTGAAACCTCTTAAGGTTTACTCTCATATGAAGTATTGTATGTGAAAATAAGGTCCTGATTATCTGGCGTAGAAGAGCACTGCTCCAGGGATGAGTCAAGGCATTGGTTGCAAACTCCAGCATCAAACAGGTTGAGACATGAAAGTCATTAGACTCCTAACTCGTATTACATGTAGTCTAAGGGCCAGAAGCCTAAAATGAACCTTTCATCTGTGGGCCAGGTACCAGAGTCATCTTTCTTTGAGAGATTGGAAGGGAGATATCCAAACCAGCAGCTTTGGAGACACTGTGGCTTGCCGATGTGGAGGAGAGCTATCCTGACAGAGCAGTGTCTGCTTTGCAGCAAGTGTAATCCTCCTCCTTTGGGCTCGGTAACATCTCCTGCCTCTTCTTTTCTTCCCTTTCTGAATAGTATGGGAGGAATAGGAGAGGGTAAGTTAGAAGGAGATCCTTAAATGGTTTCAGATGGAGACTTCTGGGCATGTTTTACCATGATTCTTTTATTAGATCTCCAGGACTGGTTTGTGACTTGATTTGTAAAACACCTACTTCCAGGTATCCATCCCTTCCTCCAAAGAAAACCTAGGAGAGATTATATGACCATCTTGCAACCAGTGCTGTGCCTCTACCCTTTGCTATAGGAAGACTACTAAGGGCTTTTGCCAAATGCTTCTGTGATTAAGGAACCCAAGGAAGCAGGGCCTACCTGTGTTTTAAAGCTGACACAATGAAATAATCCAACAGACTTCTGTCTAAAAGGTTGATCTGAGTATTCCTTGAATTCTACATTCTAAAAATGAAATAATGCTAAAAAAARAAAACTAAGAAAAAAAGGCAGTGGTTTAGAATTCATGAGCCCAGTTATATTCCACACCAAGGAGAACTTCCTAGTTTCACAAGGAAGATCACATGTGATATCAAATCTCATCAACTGGCTTCATTTTCTCCCAAGCTACCAGTGAGACCATGCCTCAGACATGATCTCATCCAGCTGAATAGTAAGTTTGCCAGACAAATGCTTCATGAAAAGACAGTTTGAATCAGTATATCCATGTAGAAGACCTGATGTAAAGTAACTCTCCATAAAGAAATGGTACTTCTCTTTTAAATGCCTGAGGAGGGGCACATGTACTGTTGTACAGATCTCTCCATCAAGACTTTGAATATATCACACATGCATAGACTGTTCCAGCTATTTCTCAAGTGTCAACCAACAACGTTGGTTATACTTGTGTTTTTTATGCTTGTGTCCATGCCAAAATACAAAAAAAAAAATTATTTCTACTCTGTGAGAAATCTTGTAGTTTTGCAGTTTGCTCTATTATGAACAAAATTTTGTTCTTCACAACCACCRGTTTAAGTCTGCGAGGATGACCCATGGTAATACAAAGTTACCTCTCAAAGATTTGGATGTACTTTTATAAGAGAATTTTGTTTTTGTGAGTGAAGTTTTTCAAAAATGCATATGCTTGCAGCAGTCCAGAGCAGACATCAACTGTTTTTTTCCCRTGAAAGAAAGATACAAGTTGAGGGTGGGCTAAAGGAGCCTGTTGTCAGAGTGCTGAAGCAAACGCATGTTTTTCCACTGTTCTTTAGGATCACCAGTGAGTCTGAGGACACTGAGTTGAGATTTTAGGGTTTATGATAACCAGTAAAGTGAGCACAGGTCAGTTCTGTTATTTGAACCTACACAGCTTTTTCTTCCTGTAGAACACTGTCATTTTTCCAGTAGGCTAAAACACTGTCTTAGAGCCAGCATTCCTGCTTTTTCAGCCTTAATGCCATCTGTCTGAAATCTACCAAAATCTGCACYAGACTTGAAGCACCTCAACTTGCTGGCCTAACTAAATGGGAAGATATTTAGCTTTGGTCATATGAACATCAGCTGTCTGATATCTCTGGTATCAGAAATATCAGCAGTGTCATCCATCTCATGGGTTCAAAGCATCTAGATGTTTAATTAGGGCTGTCCATGTCATCTGGTATGAATATTTGTGTGATACCATGGCATCTCATTGCCACATTCTGCATTCTTGTTGTAGAATGGGAAGATTTAATTAAAGCCTATGGTACC